GTGTTAGATTCATAGAATAGATCCCACATTACAGTGAAAATCAGTAGATTATTTCATGCTAACAATCATGCTATATTGAGTCGTCTGCAATGATATTGGGAGTCAATGATATTGATATTGATACTACTCCCTTCTAACCAGTTGAGGCATGTTTAGTAGATATGTTTCCATCTGCTTCTACTGGCCTAAGACTGAAAACAGCAGAGAATTGAAATAACACTGAAAATTGTTGAGCCAGAAGTACTTTCTAAATGAAATTCTAAAGAACAAAAGGTTGAAGGCAGCTTCAACACCATAAAAAAGCTCCACTATGGAAAGAGACAGCTAAAAAAATATACATAGATAGGGATGTTCTCTATAGATCTTTGCTTTTTGATGATTGGAGTTCAAGCTTTGAACATCTTCAGACAATCTCCTCTTGCAAATAATCTGATTATCTATCCAGCTTTTCGTGAGTATCTGTATGAATCAATCAATGGCGCTGTACAGAAATCCATGCAGGAACATAACAGTTAAACATAGAATCACTGAACCAGGCGTATCTTCGAAAGACAACTGAACGAGGAAGATCCCTCTAAATAATAAAGGTAGACATTTACAGAAAAAGTATTTTACATAAAATTACCTTTCAAAACTTCAACCAATAAAAGAAACTCATGCAGGAGTTAACTATTAAGTTCTGCCTCTGAATAATAATAAAAGCTAATATTCCTTATTTCCATAGTGGCTCATGGCAATACTGGCTGACTGTCTCTGTCAGTCTTTCTACAGCTGCATTTCCAAATTTAATTTCAACACATTAATATTAAATCTTCAAATCCCTCAAGAAACAACAGACCAGTAGAGTAGAACAATAATACAAACCTCATTCTAAAAATAAAGAGAACAACAAACTGAACTCTGAGCAGGTAAATATTTAAATATAGTCAGTTTTATATAAAATGCTCACCAACCACATGACATGAGCATGATTAAAATGCAGTCAGCTTCTACACTATTCATTCTTTTACCCTGCAAACTGCAACACATTTAAGTGCAACCTTTTCAAAGCCTCATGCAATGAAGTGAGAAGGACAACATTTTCCTAAGCCTGTCCTCTTTCTGTTTGTGTGCAGGAGGTGATGGATCTGGAGAGAAGTCTGGGTGGAGTTTTAATAGAGGATCCCAAGCCGCTGCTTTTTAAAGACAGCTATCACAACCTCCGCCTGTCCATCCACGATATTCCTCACAATCACTGGAGGAGCAAACTTCTGGCTAAGTACCAGGTGCTTCACTTTGATATTCTGCATTTATTTTTGGACCATTCTTTCCACAAAGTTTTTTATTTGATATTACTAATAAGCACGTGCATGCTTGCCCCGTGCAAAAGAAATGTGTTCTTAATAATAAAAAGAGAGGCAAAAAAAACAAAAACAAAAATACCTAAGCAAAAAGCACAAATTGGAAATTACAGTTTTAATGTTTTTTTTTTTTTTTTTATCAGAGAATATATTTTGCTTCTTTCATTTCTTCAGCAAACGTTGTGCTTCTGCTCTATTTGCTGCAGAAATAAGATAACCCAGCCCAGAACCTGTTCAGAATAAACAAACAGGAAACCTGATAGTGGTTCAAATTTATGGGCTTTGTGCTTTTGAGATAACCCATAAGCAGACAGTTGTAGGAAACATATACGTCTTAAATAGAAACCAGATGCTTCTGTAGAGGATTCTGTGCTGCAGAGATTACAAGGTTTTAAACATGTGTCTTTGTGCAACAGGAGATTCCTTTCTATCACATTTGGAGCGGCAGCCAGAGACCTTTACACTGCACCTTCAGCCTGGAGCGAGCCAGCCTGGCTGTGTCGCAGCTCGCCTGTAAGATCTGTGTTCGGCAGGTGGAAGGGGAGGGACAGATCTTCCAGCTGCACACAGACATCCAGGAGGTAACGTTTTCCTGCGGAAATTCTCAGCAGCACAAACACCTAACATGTTCACTCCGTGGTTAATTTCTCTGCCTCTGAACTTCTCCATCAAACTAGACTCTCCCACCTCACTCGCCGCTCCCATCGGCAAGCACCTGCCTGCCTTCCTCTCAGGTGGGACCGTATGCCTTTCGCCTGCCCGACTCCATCCGCCACAAGATCTGTGCCAGCCTGGATGCACCCAGTGCGCGGGGTTGTGACTGGAGACTTCTGGCTCGCAGTCTGGGCTTTGACAGGTCAGGTCTATCTTTAGTTTTAATATCTGGGTTATGGTCCATCAAGTTAAAAGTTTCTGTACCATTTTAAATAGATAGGTACAAATAAAGTGGAGTTTTGAAACCTTTGTTTACGGACTCTATCATCTCTAATAAGAGCAAAATGACACAGCTATTTTGCTCTATAGTCAGGCATAGTGACACCACGGTCATTGAAGCAGGTGTTGGTGCCTCCAGCAGTGTCTCCAGGTGCCAAGACCAGCATCTTCATGAAGCTTGTCAGAAGTGGCAGCCTTTCTTAGCAAACATCTGAGCTGGCCTAAAGTTTCATGAAACACACAGGTCAATACCAGCAGATGACTTGGCACCACTAATCATCACACTGGACCTCAAAATGGATTCTGCCTCTCTCTTCTCGTCCTCCAGACTCTGGCTTTGGTTTTCTAATGAAATTACAGCTTTATTGCTTCTGATGTTGTCTCTGGATCAGGGGCTGCAGAAAGTGTAGCCCACGTTCTGGGTCGGTCAGTTTATGGTGATATATTGACTTCAGCTCATGTTTTATGGATTAACCATTTTGCACCTGTTACTACCGGGCTTTTAAAAAAACTGTATTGAACCAGAAAGGAGAATGAAATACATTTTTCTCTTTTATTAAGGACTTCTGGCCTAAAGGATTCATATATAAAAATTAAATGTACATTTTAAGCAAAGAAGAGTTAATATAATCAAAGTACTTTTTCAAAGTCCTGTTTGGAAAGAAGTCATTGAGCTCTTGTTCTATAGCAGGAGTGTTTAAATCATTGTTCAACTATCCCAGTGAGACCAAACCATTATGCTTAAGTCTACTCTATAGATTATTTATTGACAAAAATAGAGAACACAGTCCTGCCAAGTTCAGTTAAAAAGAGTCTTAAATGTTCTCTAAGAAAGGTAACCCACTTTTCCCACTTTTGGATGCTGATAGTACTGTAAAACCGGCTGTAAATACATTTTAATCAAGTCCAATAAAGCTCATAATGCTACCAAGCCCTCTGACCATCAACAGCAGACCTGGCGGGGGAAGTAACTTGTCTATGGATTATTCGAAGCAGGGGCTAAAAGCAATAACCCTATGGTTAGAGGACAAAAGCCCTTCCCTCTGAGCCACCGTAGCCCACCAGCCAACATCTTTAGCAATTACCTTTTTATGGATGTATCATACTTGTGGAGTTCTTCATTTTGGAAATCTTCCCCATAATTGTGTGGGGCATATAATAACTTTTCTGTATCAAAAAAATAATTTTAATAGAGTTAAAAAGGTCTTGGAGAAACAGAACATTTAGCTTTGGTCAGTTATTACTTTAATTTAGCTTTATATAAAATTATTATATATTGTAACCTTCTGATTTCATTATATTTAATATATTTACACCTAAAGTGCTAAAGTAAAGAGAAAGAGTTTGAATAATTTCAGTCGTTACCGTTATTTTTTTTTTCTATAATCAGAAACGTCTCCTCACATCATGTGTTCTCCATTTTTCACTCTCAGGTATCTGAACTACTTCGCCACAAAGCCCAGCCCTACAGGTGTCCTGCTGGACTTATGGGAAGCGTGTCACCAAGGTGACGCAGACCTGGTCTCTCTGGCGACAGCTTTGGAGGATATGGGGAAAAGTGAAGTGCTGGTCGTCATGACAACAGATGGGGATTGCTGATTGGCCAAGAAACTGGAGATCAAGCAGGACATTTTAGGAGTTTTGTTTCGGGGGAAGGTGGGGGGTTGGTGTCCATGCAGGGATGAAAATGAGAACCCTTGCCTATGAATATGCACACGCTGACACAGATCTTTCAACAGCAGAGCATTTTGGTTGTACCACCCACTCCTTTGCTGACTCCTGACCAGCCGTTGTAGCCACGTATCAACCATAACCCATTCCCACGTGTGCCGTCCAACTGCCAACCTGATTCAGCTTCAGTTCTCCAAAGCAATATTGGATCAGCTAAATGAAAGAAAAAAAAAATGAGTGCCCAAATGGGGAAAATGCTGCAAAGTCTTTCAAGATTGTGATGTAACATGTAATTAAGTAATAGAAAATAACATATCTTACATATGTGAGAACAGTGTTAAATTGCAGAAATCTGTTTAGCAAACAAACACCTATATGAGAACATGGGGTTATTTTAGTAGCAGCATGGAAGAGCATGATTTAACACCATCTCATCTCATGGCACAGCCTTTTGTTTCCTTCATTCTCATTCAGAGTGGGCTGTGAATGACAGGCTGCACCAACCTGCCTGCAGCCGTACAGGCCAACGCACACACATACGTATGCACACATACACTCTGCAAAATACATACACGGAGAAAGTGGTCGTTAATCGGCTTGAAAACATGCAGGCCAGGAATTCTCGTCTTATGGATAAGGATCATATCCTGAAGGTTTCAGTCGGATCGCTTCTGGCTGAAAAGGGAAAAAACGCTCTGCCTTTTCGTAACTGTGGGAGTGGGAGATTAAATTGCAAAGTTGGTTGCAGGATTGGCAGATAACTAGGATGACTCTTTTTATTGTACCAACAAATGCCTCAAAGCCATGGTATATCGCGCCGACTCACAGGGGTGTTTCTCTTTCATCTCTCCTTGCATTCCTCCGTCTCTCTGCCACGCTCCCTATCTGCTGAGAATAAACTGCATCATCCCTCAAAAGTTTCCTTTGGGGAACGCTCTTTAATTTATTATCCATATTTGTGGATTGCATTTTTTTTCCCATGTTGTTGACAGAATTATAATATTGGACCTGTTTTACCATTTGTGCTTCTTTAAGCTGCTGAGCTGCTGTTGATTGTTATTTTGTTTTCATCTTAAAACGAAGTGCACAGCTTTTAGCCGTTGGTAAGAAAATTATCCTATTGTTTTTAATTTGATGCATCTTTTCAAAATGAACAATTTCAATTGCCTTGCAAAAGTATTCACACCTCAGACAACAGTTTTTCATATTTTGTGAGCTATAAAATTGTGATGGGATTTTATATGATAGATTGACAACAAGGAAGTTATAATTATGAATTAATTATGAAGCAAATGGATACTTATGCTCAGCAGACAAAGGTTATATACAATAAAATAAAAAAATGCATAGTATTTACACCAGCAAAATATGGCTGCTTTCCTAAACTTGCAGGGCAAGGTAAGAAGAGCATATGAGAGGCAGCCAGTTTTTCCATTGTAGCCCTGGAGGAGGTTCATAGATCATCTGCTCAGGTCATGGGCAATTCTAGAAAGGGGCCAGCGGGGGCCAGTGCCCCTGTAGATCATATCCTGGCCCCTGTTATGGCCCCTTTACTGAAGATATAATACTTAAAGAAGTTCTAATGATGATATGCGCTGGAAAGACATGGTTACTGATAGGTCCTTTGGATCTATTTCATTTTTTTCTTTAGAAATTCTGTTTTACTAATTATTTAAAAACAATAAGGTGATAGCGCCAGTGTTATTGAGATGGGAACCAAGTTTTTATTTGCTAAATGTTTTTTTTTTTTTCAAAACAAATTTTAAAAATGCTTTAATTCAGATTTTAGAGAAAATTTTAACTTAAATTAAGTCAAAAATATGTAATGTATGAATTTATATGGACCTTATAATGAATAGAATTTTAATTAAACCCAATTTAATAGAAATTTCACCTCATACAGTTTTCTTAATATATTTGAATCCCTTGCCCTGTTTTTTATTTCATTCTTTTCTGTGCCCCCATGAAAACACGCTGGCCCCCTCCTGGCCCTCTGGTACATTTGGTCTAGAACCGCCACTGGCTGAGGTGGAATAAGTTGTCAAAGGAGTGAACCAGCTGTTGTAAACTACGCATCTTCATAAGAAACAAACCGAAGGAATGGAATTTTTGAAAGACGCATGAGAAAACTCATTTATCATAAGCTATTTATAGCACCCTGCAAACATGTAAAAGAATGCCCATTGGTCTTCAAAACTCTATGTATGACTGGAAATGAACTCTGCAAATCCCACCATCCCCATAGTGGTACATCTTGGTAGCAGCATCGTTGTATGGGGATGTTTTGTTGTTTGGGTGTTTTTTGCAGCAGCAGCAATAGGAAACCTGTCAGGGTTGATTAGAAGATGGATCTGTAAGCGACTTCAAGCAACCTGAGAATCTAAAACCGCAAACATAATGGCAGAGCTTTAGGGGAATGTGTGGTCCCAAACTTTTGGCCTGGTTAAAATCCAAATCCAATTATTTAAAAAGTAATGTTCACAGATGCTTCCCATTTAAATTGTCTTAGACATCTTTCAAAGAACCAGCATATATGTTTGTTTCTAGATGTTTAAAGATGGTAAATAAAAAATAAATAAAAAAAACACACCAGACTTGATCACAATAATATCTGGAACACACAATTCCCAGTCGATAAGGAATTGAAGTTTCTGTTTCTGACATGACATTTGAAAAGGTTTAAGGTTGATGAACACTTTTGCAAGGCATCATAGTTCGTAAGTCCCAGCGCTTTGCTTTGTCTGAGAAGAGACGATTATAGAATAAATTAGCCTTACCTGAAATCAATTTGGCATCAAGGGACCATATATGTTAATTTACCGCAACACAAGCTTAATTATGTCTTGTAAGTCATTCTATCCTCCTTTATCCAGCAGTGATGGCTTATTGACGATCTATCTCCTGAGCTCCCTGCTCTGTGGCTAGGCTCCTGGAGCTATTTGTATTATCATTATCGATCTATCAGTTATTGTTAGATGAGAATATGAGAATTTCTTTATGTTTTGTTTCTTGAAGAAAGGCAAAGCAAGTGTTTATAGTTTTAAAACGACAGAAACCAAAACAGCGTCAGTATCCCACCTCCTCAGCTGTGAGTCATGCAGCTGTTTTGTGTGAATGAAGTGAGCGTGCCTGAGTAAATGGGTTTGTGGAGGCAGATTGGAGTTCACATACAAAAAAAATGTGTACATCATTTGGAGCTGTCATTTCTATAAGTGCTATGCAAGTAGAAAAGAAAAGTGAAGCTTTTCCAACTTCTTTTGGTTCCTCTAAGAGTATTTCTATTTTTACAGATCAGAACATTCACAGTTTTTTTGTTTGTTTTTTTTTTGTATCTTTAAGTGGTTTCTGGACATTCTGATTTTGCAAAAGCATTCTCCATCTGGACTGGGAGAGCTGGATCACTCATCTCACTGAGGATGCCATAAATGATAAAAATCAGAATGGCACATCAGGCTCAGGACAAACCGTGGCTTACATGGTGAACCATGCCTTGCAGGCCTTTGCCATGAAGAAACAGCAGACTACAACCCGTTCAGTGAGCCAGCAGGACTTTTTTTTTTGTCAATTCATGGAGCAGAACTTTCCCTGCTGAGAACTACAAAGTGTTTTGCCTGCAGATATCTGGGTGTCTACTTTTCGGCCATAATCTCTGGATTATTAAAGCCGAACGTGACTGGTTGGCTCATTTGAAGGAGACAAACTCTGCCTTTGTTCAAATATTGAGACATTTTTACAGAAAATCTAAATGGTTCAGTGACATTATTTCGTCTCTGTGAAGCACCGATTGTAAATACCTGTTTAGCATTCTTACTTGTAACTAAATATAATTTTTATGCAATAAATTATATTTCTTAGTTTAACATGATTATATGTTGTGTGCTTTTTTTATTTCTCTTAAAGTACATTATTGTAAAGTACCATAGTGAATTAGGAAAATCCAGCTGAATGTTTATCAAATGGTTCTGTTGGACAAAATGTCTTCTAAATGGCATCTGTTTCGTCAATTACGAACCAAAAAAAGCAAAGTACCTCAACCTGCACCACTTTGCTTCACACCTCGCTGAGAAATTCCCTTTAGGTCCATTTAGCTTTGAAAGCTTTTATCAGACAGGCCCTCACATTAACAGGTCTAGGAGACACTAATAGTGCCCTTCGAGGACTGACATTGGCATTTACACCGAGGGCTCTAACCTCAGTCCTTTTATGACTGAAGAATGGTTTGATTAAACTGTTTTGGCAGAAATAAACAAACCGGTGAGTCATCTTTACTGATGCTACACTTCAATACTTTGCACCTGTCCTATCAATTATCGCACAGCTAATTGAGAACTGACTTGATATCGATTGCATGAGTGAAGCGATGCTTTGATAATGTCGCCGACGCTGCCTTTGTTCTTTACACAAACCTTTCATGTTAACTAAATGAATGAAGTTACAAACCTGCTGTAAGTAAAGAGGAGTGAAAAAGTACTTACTCCTAGTTTTGCTTTTTTGTCTCACTTTAATCTTCCAGATCAAAAGACACATTTTTATGTGGGATAAAGATTACCAGAGTAAAACATAAACCGTTTAGGATTATTTTGAATGATAAACTCATGATTTACTTTATCAACGGAAACGTGTCCAAAAGACTGGGAGCTTGTGTGAAAAATTGCACACAAAACCTAATAATTGTTAGTAGAAGGGTTCAAATGTTTGTGTTAATTGGCAATGTTTTTTTGTTTGTTTTTTTAACATCTCTGCTGCTGGCTCTTCCTTCTTTAATTTGAAGCTGGAGCCATTAGAAAGTTTTGAAGTATAAATATTTAACATAAGGAATCTAACAATTATCATCCAAGCTTTGACCAGACCAATGCAGAAGCATGATTTAGTTTTGTCTACTTGCTGGTTCCGCTCTAAACCACTGTTCTACAGCATAGACCATTGTGTTTAAGTTTAAACACTGATGACAAAACGTCCTCATCAGATTCTGTTAGAGATGAGCATGAGAGACAGTCATTGGGGGGAAAAAAAACCTTATAAAGTCCTTCTTTGTCTCATCAGTCCACACCATATTTTCTGCCTTGCAAAAGGTTGTTGCTTTTGCTAAGTAAGCCCCATTCTTAATGTAGAATCACAGCACAAACTATTAAATTATTATACTGCAACTGCTATAGGGGAATCTTAAACTGAAAAGAGTTTAAATACAAGCATCAAGCATGAAGAGGAAAAATCTTGAGTTACTGTAAGCGTATTATGGTTTTAATTAAGCAAAACAGTAAGTCTATTATTGGGGACTTTATTTTAAAAATGTACAGAAAAGAAAAAAGAAAGGTTACATTTTTAAGAAAGTACACATCATGCCTCACAGCAGAGCAAATGAGTTATCAAAGAGACAGCCTGGAGAAGAAATTGTCTCACTTTTTTTTTTTTTCAAATAGTGCATTGTACTACCGCCTACAGTACATAAAGGTAAACATCTAAATAGGTTTTGTGCAGCATGTATGTGATCCACTGGGATGTCTGTAGGTTTCTTTCTGACTGGAGATTAGGAAAAATTCCTGTCATCGAACAATAAAAAAAGACAACAATCAAAAGATAAACAATAAAATATCACAGACGTATGTTTTCTACAAAACATCAGACTTTATTCTTTGCAGGAAGCTTTTTTTCCCCATGACTTGTCAGAAGGTGGCAGTTTTGATCAGTTTTTTTGTCTCTGTGATGGTCCCAGATTTAATCCTGATCTTTCCATCACTGAATCTGAACAGAAATAGTATGCAGACTTTCTCTTCCAGCACCTATTAGCAGCATCTCTACTAAAATGCGTTTGAGAAGAGAAGGTCCAGCATATGTATCCAGCATGAGAGGATCAGGATGACAGGATAAACTGTCCTACTGCTCCATCTCCTGGTTTATATGGATCGGTTGTAGATTAACTTTATTTATTTATTTATTTATTTTTATACAAATATACACACCTAATTGAGCCTTTGTTGAAAGTGATCATTAAAAATAATAAAAAAAAAACAATCTGTCTGGCAAAATGGCTCTTCTTTCTGGTAATGGTTATATTCTTTATGTTGTTGATCATAAGCTAAATCAAAAAAAGCTGTGATGTTTTTTTTAAGTTTTTCTGGTAGCTGTGCTATTAGGCCTATCTGAGGCGATACTCATTACAAAACCTAAGAGAAATGCTATTCTTTTAAGGGTTTAGTTTCTTTTTTCTAAATTATACTTAAAAATTTATATCACATCACATGTCAAAAGTTGTTAGGATTCTTGAATCATGGAATCAAGACACAGTACCAACTTTGTGACTATTTCTCGATCCTTTTAGATGGTAAATGCTATTAAACAATGTGAACTTTCATCTTCCTTACTAATGTGGTAAATCCACCCTAAAGACATGAAGGGCAAACAGTTCATATTTCTGAGCAGCTGAGTTTGCATTTGCTATAAGGCATAATCAATTTCAGTAATTAATTATATTATATTACGTTCATTCTTTGTTGTATTTAGTGAATTAAAATAACTTTTCAAACGTTTATATAAATATTATAATGTATAGAAGAAACTGCAGAATTAGTTCTTTTATTATTCGGCTTTTATTGTGAAAAGCTACTACGATCAACTTCCTGTCTATCAACGTAAGCTATTTTTCTGCCTTTAAAATATATAGGCCTATATATGTTCAGTCTTTCTTTTAATTTACATATATTGGCCACTATATTAAGTCGTTTTATATTTATATTTTTTAATTTCTTTTTTTTCCATATCGTGTTTGTTTGTTTTTGTCTTACAACCGGAAGTGGTGTTGCAGCTGCTAACCATCCGAGCTTGCACTTCGGAAGCCCCAGTAAATCAGCTGACCAGAAACACCAGTTTGCTGTCAACTGAATCTTTTATTTTTGGAAAAACCTGTTTGGAAAGCAGTGGAGCGAAAGTGTCGAAGTTTTCAGGGATGAGGTTTGTCTTGTTCATTTGTTTTCAACCATCGGTGGAGCTAGCTTGCTTTGCTTTTAGCTTTAACTGTTAACCCTAACTATTTTTTTAGACAAAGAATAAATAAGGTTAATGTAAAGTTTAGATAAATTATCGAAAAAACATCTTTTATTGATAGGGATATTGTGGTGCAGTATCCTGTTTCAGTAAGTCAAAGGGTTTTTGGTTTTAGTATCATGTGAATATTAGTTCCTCTTTAGTCACACTTAAGTTGCAAAATCAACTTTTACCTCAAGATAGTGGCTACATTTTACTGCGTAATTTTTATTTATTTATTTATTCTTCTGACACATCTGCAGCACGGTGATCGTGGAGGAGCTCTGTTAAACATTTAAGGACATTTTGATGAGAGGTGAGATTAAATTAGGGTCTTCTGTTTGAAGTCGGAGTAATGAGTCAAACAATCACATGTCTCAAAAACACGGGATGTGAGAAACGTTTTGTCTGGAATATTTGTCTCTGATTGAATAGGCAGGTCATGACTTGAGTTACTCAACAGAGACTTGATAGAAGACAGTGGGAGAGAGGTGCCTTCATAAACACATTGATGGTGATGGTGTTAATGAATAAGTCTGTGGGTTTCTCTGACTCCACATGCAGGGCCTGATGAGCAGCTTATTGAGCAGCTCCTCCAGAGTTACCTTTGATTAATGCTCTCTTTTTCAAGACATCCAGTTTATTAACAGTGGTTAACAGTGTTGTTTGATTTATTGTTTATTGTCTTGATCAGTTCTTGTTGGTATGTTTAGACCTTGTCATGATGTTTATAACCTTGCTGTCTTCTCTATAGATTTATCTCTAACCTGGCTTCTTTGTTACTAGGTCGTCATTAGCTGTTGGTCTTTATTGATGTTCTTTGATGAACCTCTGAATACTGAGATTATATTGCATTACTATGTTTGATTATATTATATCACTATGTTTAATAATCAGAAGGGAAATGGTTTTATTGGATTTTAGTAGTACAAGTAGTAAATGACACCGTATAAAAGTGCATGTCATATTTTTTTGGGGGGGATTATTTGTTAAAAGAATCTCCTAATGGATATGTGTTTTTTGTATTTACATCTAAGTTTGTGGATGTAACATGAAAAAATGGGGGGAAATTCAAGGGGAATGAATTAGGGCTGCACTATTATGCAAATTGATTGATCTGTTAGTTATTTTTTCGATTCATCGATTAATAATCAAATAGCACAAGGGTTCCTTAAAGGAGAACCCTTTTCCACTTGAGGAGTTCTGGATGGAGAGAATTGATTGACGAAAAAGTTTTTTCTTATCTTAAATGCACAATGTTTCTATATGTTTTTACAATCTTGGTATAATTTCTGCTCTAAGTTGGTTGCTCTGTCAGCTAAAGGCATGTTTTAGAGCTTGTATACTCCAGTTAGAAATTAATCAATTACTAAATTAGTTGACAATTATTTAAATATTCGATTAATCTGATTAGTTGTCTCAGCCCTAGTACGAATACTTTTTGCTACCTGATATTAAACTACAATGTGAGGAAATTATTGAGTTATAATTTAGGGGGATCTCTGCTGCTCTTTTGGAAACTTGTTTTTACTGCTCTAACATTATCTCATATTTCTCATTATTCTGTAGAACCAAACTTTTCACTTCTGTCTTCTCTTTTCCCCCAGCTTGCCCTTTTCTCTTCTGTTTTCACCCTCTGAGTACCCTGGACAGTACCTGTGAAAATGGACCGCACAGAGTCTGTGCAGCCCAGCGTCAACTCATCCTATCTCCCGCCTGGGTACGACGAACAGAGCTCAATCGAGGATGAGGAGGACGAAGATGCCAGTCCCTCTGCAGCTCTTCTTCCTAAAGTCTCCTCTGCGCCTCTGGCTGTGCGCTACAGTCCAGAGGACTCGTACTTTCT